GGATTGGGGAGCGGCTGGGGAGAGGCTGGGGGAAGGGGAGATCCTGGCCCCCTAGTGACAGGGGAGCGGCTGGGGAGAGGGGAGATCCCGGCCTCCTGGGGATTGGGGAGCGGCTGGGGAGAGGCTGGGGGAAGGGGAGATCCTGGCCCCCTAGTGACAGGGGAGCGGCTGGGGAGAGGGGAGATCCCGGCCTCCTGGGGATTGGGGAGCGGCTGGGGAGAGGCTGGGGGAAGGGGAGATCCTGGCCCCCTAGTGACAGGGGAGCGGCTGGGGAGCTAGGGAGATCCCGGCCTCCTGGGGATTGGGGAGCAGCTGAGGAGAGGGGTGTGACATTACACTCCATATGATGTTATGAAAATATGCTAATGAGTGTGAATATAATGTAACTGGAATATGCTTAATGCAAAAGGTCTCTTATAAGGTATCATTACAAAGCTTATAATCTACTGAGTGTGTTCATCCTATTTGTATGAACGTATCATTCTTGTATCTGAAACTAGGAATATAACTCTGAGGTCCTATTGTAATTATGCAAATTGTGGGCCATTAATGGTGGTTTAGAATCTTGATGGCTCCCATCAACTAGGATAATTGACTGTAGATGGCTCTGTTTTACTTGCAAGCCTTCCTGTGAGTCAGGCCAGGAAGAAAGATGGCTTGGGGTCTCACAGGACATGCGACCATGTCACCTGGTACTGGAAACCATCTTTAACCTGGTGCTTTTCCATTTAGAAAGAGGGGTGGGGACTCTGAGATACAAAAGCTTCCTGCCTTGTGCTAAAGCCATGTAAGGGGGTGAAACAGAACAAAGGCAGCTGCAGTCATGAGAAATCCCTTGGCTACCACCTGAGCTGGGACTAACAAGGACTGTACCAAGGGAAAGGATTGGGCCCAGACTAGAAAGGAGTCTAGTCTGTGAAAGAAGCTTATTAGACCATCTCCGAGCATGAGGTTTCATCTGTAATCAGTTTCTTACTGTATTAGGCTTAGACTTGTGTGTTTTTGTTTTATTTTGCTTGGTAACTTACTTTGTTCTGTCTGTTACTACTTGGAAACACTTAAATCCTACTTTTTATATTTAATAAAATCACTTTTTGCTTATTAATTAACCCAGAGCAAGTATTTAATACCTGGGGGAGCAAACAGCTGTGCACATCTCTCTATCAGTGTTATAGAGGGTGAACAATTTATGTGTTTACTCTGTATAAGCTTTATACAGAGTAAAATGGATTTATTTGGGGTTTGGATCCCATTGGGAACTGGGTGTTTGGATGCTAGAGACAGGAGCACTCCTTAAACTGTTTTCAGTTAATTCTGCAGCTTTGGGGCAGGTGGGTCAGACCCTGGGTCTGTGTTGGAGCAGACTGCCATGTCTGGTTCAATAAGGCAGGGTTCTGAAGTCCCAAGCTGCTAGGGAAAACAGGCTCAGAGTTAGTCTCAGCACATCAGGCAGCAGTCTCAAGGGGGTGTCTCTGACCCAAACACAAGGGGAGATCAAGGCCCTCTGGGGATTGGGGAGTGGCTGGGGAAAGTGGAGATCCCGACCGATGGGGGAGAGGGGAGATCCCAGCCCCCAGGGATTGGGGACCGGCCGAGGAGAGGGGAGGTCCCACCCCCTGGGAATTGGGGAGCGGCTGGGAAGAGGGGAGGTCCCTGGCCCCCTGGGGATTGGGGAGCGGCACTAGCTCTGCTCTGGCGCTGACGGGCTGGGAGCCCGGGAGGAGTCGGGGGCGCTGGCGGCCGGCCCGTCCCTCCTGGGCGGAGCTCTCTTCTCCCCTGCTGCAGACTGTGGGTGCCCGGGAGCCAGACTGGAGCAAGCCGGAGCCGGAGCGCGGCGGCCGTGGAGCATGGAGCGGGCAGCGCCCTGAGTCCCTTCCCCGGCGGCAGGCGGCAGCATGAGCTTCTCGCGGCCCCTGCGGCGCTCCGTGAGCCTGAGCCAAGCCCGGACCCTGCGGCTGGTGGTGCTGGGACAGGGCGCCGTGGGCAAAACAGGTAGGGATCCTGCCCGTCGTGCGCCCGGGGGCCTCTGACACCCCCGCCCCCGCCCTGCAGGGCAGCCCCAGCCGCCTCGCCAGGAACTTCCCCGCTTCCTCCCGGCTTTGCCGGACGACGGAAGCGAGAAGCAGGCGGGGGAACGGCTCAGGCTGTCCGTGTCCACCCCGGGCTGACTGTGTCCAGCCGCGAGCGCCCTGCCTGCGAGGCTGCATAGACCGAGATGCCGGACACGGGCTTTAGATCAGCGCCTCCGGGGGCTCTGGGCAGTCAGGCTCCCCCTGGCGCCCCAGCAGAGATTTCCCCACCCCTGGTGCTGTCAGGTTTGCCAAGTGGGTGCACTTTGTAACCCCACCCTTCGTGTTTTACACAACACCTTCCCGCCAAAGCCCCAGCCCAGCCCAGCAGGTGTGTTATGGGCTTCCCTGCAGACACGTGCGCTGCGGGCGTGAATAGATCACTTCCCACACGCCTGAAATGTTGCCGATCAGATGCTTCCCATTGCCGTTCGAAACAGGAAAAGAAACGGGCTCTGTAAGGGGGTAGGCAGGTAGTCCTGACTTCTAAAATCGGCCTTTGCAAAGGACAGTGGACTGGAGATTGCTGGACTGGAGGCAATAAACACAAGAGTTCTCATAGGTGGAGGTGTTGAGTTTCCACTGACTCCAGTTGGAGTTGCGGGGGGCTCAGTGCTTCTGGGAATCGTACCCAAAGGATTTTTGGCTCATGTCACCACCCGCCTGCAGAAATGTTCCTTGTAGATCAGCTGGGCTTAGACTTTTCAGTCAGTGTCCTATATCTTCTAGCCATATGAAAGCCACTTTTGGGGAAAACAATGTAAATGCCAGGTATAAACTCCATCAGTTACTCTGAATTTCCTGCCTGTATTTTGTAAATTAAAGCAAGCAAGCTATTAACATCCTTTAGTTATAAGTTTGGCGGGGTGTGGGGGGTAAAAGTTGAATGACTTATGCTGCACTTTTAAGTGACTTTTTTAAAGCTGAAGTTTGGGTAGGTTTGTGAATTGAAAGGCAGTGTGGTCTAGTAGATAGAGCACTGGTCTGGGAGTCAGGGACCTGGGTTCTTCTAATCCTTGTTCTATCGCTGAACTGCTGTGACTTTAAATAAGTCACTCGCTTTCCTCCACCCACATCTGTCCGTCTTGTCTGTTTAGACTGTAAACTATTTTGGGGCGGTGGGGCGGCAAAGACCATCTTCTACTAGGTGTTTGTACAGCACCTAGCACAATGGGCTGAGATCCTGTACAGCAGGGGTGGGCAAACTTTTTGGCCCAAGGGCCACATTGGGGAATAGAAATTGTATGGCGGGCCATGAATGTTCACAAAATTGGGGTTGGGTGTGGGCTCTGGGGTGGGGCTGTGGATGAGAGATTTGGGGTGCAGGAGGGTGCTCCGGGCTGCAATTGAGGGGTTTGGAGAGAAGGAGGGGGATCAGGGCTTGGGCAGGGTGTTAGGGCGTGTGGAGAGGCTCAGGGGTGCAGGCTCTGAGCGGCGCTTACCTCAAGCAGCTCCCGGAAGCAGCGACATGTCCCCTCTCCGGCTCCTACACGGAGTGACAGCCAGTCAGCTCTGCACGCTGCCCTGTCCACAGAGACTGCCCCTGCAGCTCCCATTGGAGCGCCTGAGGGGGCCATTGGAGCGTGTAGGAGCTGGAGTGGGGCCACGCCGCGGCTTTCAGGAGCGGTGTGGTGCAGCCCTTGACCCTGCGCCCCGGCTAGTCCGGCCCCCGACCCAGTGCCCTGGCTCGAGCGGGGCTGAGCTGCATGGTGCGGCTTGTGGGCCGGCTTAAAACAGCTCTTGGGCTGAATCTGGCCCACAGGCCATAGTTTGCCCACCCCTGCTGTAGGGGCTTCTGTAATACTACTAATAATGGGAGATACAAGTTTACTCTGTTACAGTCATACTTTATCTCTGTTACTAGGGGTCAGTGGTGTTGGTGGTTGAAATGCAAATGTCCACAGTAAACTCCAGGAAAGTATTGTGGTCATTTGGGGGTGGGGGAGAGAGATGGCAAGTTTTAAAGAACACTTCCCCACCATTTATTTGCCCACTCCAGAAATACTCATGCATCCGATGAAGTGGGCTGTAGCCCACGAAAGCTTATGCTCAAATAAATTTGTTAGTCTCTAAGGTCCCACAAGGACTCCTCGTTCTTTTTGCTGATACAGACTAACATGGCTACCCCTCTGAAACCTATCTACAGATATAGTATCCCTGTCTGGTTCACAACACAGACTGGCTACAGATGCTCTGTTAGTTGTGCATTTCCATTGAATGTATTTCTTTGTAAACTGGTGAATTCCTTCCTTTCATGTCAATGAAAAATCACATTTTTTCGTTGTTTAAAAGGAAATGAAATAAACGCTTGAAGTTAACATTTTAACTTAGGTTTATGATTTTTTTTTAATTTGGCATATAAACATGAAAAGATCACCAAGCCCAGGCTCTAGGGGCTATGGAAAGAGAATTAAAAATGCAATCCAACTAAGGCAAGAAACAAAAACCCAACAGCAGTTGCAAAGCAACAGAGAAAAGAAGGCAAATCACAACACCTCCATTTCAGCTCCTGTAAAATCTTAACCTCTCCCACCAAAGAAATACTCACACCCATACACCTTCCTAGATAGACAGATTTTGCAGCAGATTTCAAAAGTCAACACCATAGGCTATTTTAGCCAGGAAAAGGAATGAATACCAAATTGGAGGGAACCCCTCATAGGAAAACATTCTGCCAGCAGCTCCTAGTATGGGGTACAGTTGCAACAAAGACAGCACCTGAATATGGCTCTGACATGGGTGTGTTAAGTGTCAAAAGTCCTGAACTCACAAGTTTCATGTGGGCAGAGCCTGCTGGGACTCCGTGTAGGTGCAGGGATCCTCCTGCGCCCAGCTGCTTGTAGAATCAGGACCTACGTGTGGTATCCTGGCCAGGACTGAGTAATTGGAAGTGGGAAGAGCAGATGGAGCAGTAAATGATACAGTCACATGAACTGTGTTTCATGCAGAAGAATGCTGGTATGAAAACCCCGCAAACCAACAGCTAGTCAATATCATAACCTCGAAGCTGAACATATATGGTTCTCTCATGCATTTTAATAACTCATCAGCCATAACATACGAGAAAAGTATTGCAGAGAGAACGCGTTTTGATTAACCAGATGCCAGGGAATTTCAGGCCACCCCTTGTTATAATTAAGGTGGTGGTTCCTGTTTTCCATTTTAATGGATCCTAGAAAGAATGATTTCCATCTATAAAATGACCATGGAGTTTTCTTTTATTTTTTTGTTTATTTTAAAAGCTCAAAGTGGACTAATGCACTTGAAAGGTTAATGGCTTTTGGCCTTGTCTGCACTGAGGATTTGCCCTGATTGCAGCCATCACTGGCCAGCCACCTGCCTAGCAGCAGCAGTGCAAACCAAGATTATGTCTACACTGCAGCTGGGAGTGAACCTCTCAGCCTGAGTACACAGGCTTGAGGCTTGCACAAACATGGTAAAAATAGCTGCGTGGAGGTTGTGGCATTGGCGGAGGCTTGGACTAACTATCCGAGCTTGGACCCACCCTGCCGCTGGGGCCAAGCCCTGGTGACTAGTGCAGGCCTCTGCTGGTGCTGCAGCGTCCACACTGCTTTTCGTAGCATGATTGCACGAAGCTCACTAACACAAGCCTGTCTGCCCAGGCTAGGAGACTTGCTCACAGCGGCAGTGTAGACATACCTTTCCAGTGCAGACAGCCAGTGCTGCGCCTATAAACCACGATTTGCAGTAATGCAGCTTAGCTCCGTTTCAAGTAGGGAGTGAACTGTATTGGTGCAAATTATGGCTTCTAGTGGCTTTGCATGTTTACATTATGGCTCTGTGTCAGTTCAGCTACACCAGTGGTTGAAATCCCCTGTGAAGTCTAGACTTCACTCCTGATGCTTTTGTCTGTACACTGTGCTATTGCCATAGCATGTTAAAATAAGTCAGTCTCCACAATGATACTAACATCTGGATTACTTTTTAGCTTTAAAATACAGGTCACAAGAGTGAGTAATTAGCTGGGTAGCATCCCTAAAGAGTGTAGGCATGGGGGTGAGGGGAGACGTGTCTCCCATTGCTTGCCTTTGAATAGTTATTTTGAAACATTGCTTGAACAAAGCCAAATCTTAGAAGTCTGACGGAATTTCATACTTATTGGAAGGTGAATTCTGGTGCTTGATTCATACTTTGGACTATGCCGTTGTTCAACTCTCAGCTTTCACAGTTCTAGTATATTAGCAGAGCTCCACAGTTATATTTATATCCCAGTGTTCACCGACAAGTAAGATCACCTACTGCCCTGTGTTTGGGGGTTAAGACATAGAAATGTTTGACAGCTCAGGCAGACTATTATGTATTTATTTATTTATTTATTTACTTACTTTTGTATTACAGAAGCATTTTGAGGGCCCAGCTGAGATCTAGGCCTTGTTGTACTAGGTGCTGTACTGAGAGACCGTCCATGCCCTGAATATTTTATAATCTAAAAATGGGCAAGACAGACAAAAGAAATATTATCCCCATTTTGCAGATAAGGAACTGAGGCACAGACTCAGTGACTTGCCCTAGGTCATAGAGGAAATAAAGCAGTGCTGGGATTTGAAGCCAGGGCTCTGAGTCCCATGCTTTCCTCTCTTGTTTTGATTTAAACGTTCCCCCGGATTGTTTTTAACTCGCACATTGGCGCATTGTGTTAGTGCATGAAAACCAGAGTGAGTAGTTTTCATTATCCAAACTGAAAAAGATGTAAAAGCTAAACAGGCACCACAAATGAGGAAAAATGAATTCCAGAGACAAGGTGGGTGAAGCTCTATCTTTTATTGCACCAGCTTCTGTTGGTGAACGAGATGACTTTTCAAGCTGCACAGAGCTCTTCATCGGCCCTATATAGCTCAAAAGCTTGTCTTGTTCACCAACAGAAACTGGTCCAATAAAAGATATTACCTCACCCACCTTGTC